GAGAGTGGTACCAAGCCACACACCAAAGGAACGACGAGGGAGGAAGCTCTGGAGGAAGAGAGGGAGGTTCCCACGAAGGCCAAAAGAATGAAGTTGAGACAGAATATGATACCGCCAGGTAGTGTCGTAAGCCTTTTCCAGGTCAAAAAGGATGGCAACAACGGAGGTCTTGGCAGCAAAAGCAGTACGAATATAGACCTCCAAGTTCACTAGGACATTCGTTGTGCTGCAGCACTTGCGAAAACCAAATTGAAAAGGGAAGAGGTGGTGATAGTGTTCTAAGAACCACATCAAAGGAACGTTAACCATACGTTCAAAGAGCTTGCAGACACAACTCGTGAGGACAATAGGGCAGAAGTCCTTGGGGGATGACCTGGGAGACCCTGGTTTCCGAACAGGGAAGACAACAGCATCGAGTCAGTCTTCAGGGACTGACGACGACTCCCAGACCCGATTGTACAGACTCAGTAAATACTGAGACGTGCACGGAGGGAGATGGCGAAGCATTTCATAATGAATGCCATCGAAGCCTGCTGCCGTAGAACCGCAAAGGGCTAGGGCAGACTGAATCTTCTTATCTTGAGGTTATCTTGAGTTGATTTTGGGGCTTTTTTAGTGTCCCCACGGCCCGGTCCTTGGCCAGGCCTCCACCCCCAGGAAGCAGCCTGTGACAGCTGACTAACTCCCAGGTACCTATTTACTGCTAGGTAACAGGGGCATAGGGTGAAAGAAACTCTGCCCATCATTTCTCGCTGGCACCCGGGATCGAACCCGTGACCACAGGATCACAAGTCCAGTGTGCTGTCCGCTCGGTCGACCAGCTCCCAAGCTACCAAGCGACCAGCTTCTCTCTCTCTCTCTGAAGCTCAGAGAGAGAGAAGGGATCATTATAGGGAAGGTGAAAATAAGTGCAGAAATTTAAAGGATGAGATTCAAGAATAGGCTTACGAAGAAGGAAGGATTGGGGAAGTTGAGAACCAGAACTAGCAGAGGAAAAATTCCCAGGACCCAGTTCGCGACCGAACTGGGTCTAACAGAGGAGACCCAGTTTGGTCGCGACCTGGAACGGGTCCGCCACAAGAGCACCATGGAGGCGAAGGACCGGTGAGACATCGGGAACGAACTTACCCGCAATCTTACGGATACGCTTCCAGACCAGTGGGAGAGGAGTTTCGGACATAACGGTGGAGATATATGACGCCAACAAGCACGTTTAGCCGCACGGATGGTCCTACGGGCCACTGCACTCGACTTCCGAAACAAAAGAATAGACTGCTGGCGGCGATGTCTCTTCCAGGCTGCACGCTTACAGCGGACAGCCCGAGCACAGTCCACATTCCACCAGGGAATGCACTTCCGCGTTCCCCGAGAGGAAGAGCGAGTAATAGAGTCGAGGGCAGCATCAAAGACAGTGTCATGAAAAAGAAGGAGGGCGCGAGGGAGAGGCAGAACGGAGAGGTCGGAAATAGTAGCAAAGAGAGTAAAGAGGCGCCAGTCAGCCTCGACAAACCACCACCTAGGGAAGGAGAGAGGTGGGCGAAAATAGAAAAAAGTAACAAGAATAGGAAAATGGTCACTGCCATGGAGGTCATCAAGGACCCGCCACCCGAAATCTAAAGAAGGGGATGATGAGCACAGAGAAAGATCGAGACAAGAGAGAGCGAGTCCGAGAGTCCAAATGAGTGGGCTCACCAGAATTAAGAAAGGACAGGGAAGAAGAGAGGATGAAAGGTTTAAGGAGGCGACCCCGGGTGTTTGTCAGCACATCACTCCAAAGGGCATGACGACAATTGAAATCACCCAGCTGGAGCACAGACTCCGGCAATGAGTCTAGGAGATGTTTAAGATCGGGAAGAGAAAGTAGGATAGTGGGGGGGAGATAAATGGAACAAACCGTGTACCATTTACGCACAACGACACGGACGGCAGAACAGTGGAGAGACGGGGAAAAAAGTAAGGGGACAAAGGGAACATCGGAGCGAATCAAGAGAGCAGAAGAATTATGAACCCCAGCTCTTGCTGGGGGGGGGGGGGAGAAAAGAATAGCCACGGAAACGACCAGGACGAGCACCAAGCATCAGCTCCTGGAGACAGACACAAAGGGGCGAAAACTGTGAAATGGGAAGTTGAAGGTCAAGGAAATTGGCGTAAAATTCATTGAAGAAAAGACATCAGCAAAGAGAGAGAGGAGAGCAACAGAGAGCAAAGAAGAAACAAAGGTGAAGAAGGAACACAGCACTCTAAAAAAGCACAGGGTCAGGATCAGGGTCAGAGAAGTCAGGGTTAGGGGGCATGGGTAAACTGAGTAAAGAAGGAGGCAAAGAAGCGGGAGGACAGACCAGAGGTGGACGAGTAAGGTCTGGAGGAGATTGAAGGGGAGGAGGGGCAGAAAGAGGGGAGTGCACTTCAGCAAGGGCAGTAACCGAGATGGAACCGGGGGCTAAAGAAACCCCTACAGTAGGAACAGGGGGCTCCACCACCGAAGTGGGAGGGGAAGGAACGATAGAATCAGAGATTCTATCTAGAATGGGGGTGAAGAAGAAAGTGAAGCCTTCTTACCGACCGAGGAGGAGGAAGGAGAGGAGCCAGGTTTCCGCTTCTGACTCAAAGATACAGGCGTCCCAGCAGCAATGTACTGGGCAACAAACTCCAGCTTCTCGATAGAAGAAGAAGATCGAGAGCGAACAACACAACCATCAGGAGAGCGATGGACATCAGCCCGCACAGTTAGGCAGCGTGGAGAGCCAAGAAACGAAGGAGAATGACGGGAAGGAGGACCAGAGGGTGAGAAAAAAGAAGACATAGGAGACGTGACAGACTGGATAGAAAGAAGGGGAGTCCTAGACAGAAAACCAGGAGGGAGACCCTTCGGGACAGAACGGAGGGAAACAGGGGAGGTGGTGGTGGGCGTGTCCGGGTCTAAAGCTTGGAAACGGTTGTGAGACTGAGGAAGACGGGAAGGACGAGGAGAAGAAGAGCGCACCACGCGAGCATAGGAGACGCAAGCGAAAGAGGGGAGACGATGAATTTGGCGCCGAGCCTCAGGAAAAGACAAACGGTCCCGGTGCTTCAAGTTGAGGACAGCCGCCTCAAGTTTGTAACGAATACACGTACGGGAGAAGGTAGGATGGGCCTCACCGCAATTGAGGCAGCGGGCCTGGGGAGAAGTGCACTCCAACTTAAAGTGACCCTTGCTTCCACACAGGGGACAGAGAGAGACAGGACTAGAGCATTTGAGGGCACCATGCCCAAACCCCCAGCACTTACTCCAGAGCCGAGGAGATGGAATATACTCCTGAACGGAGCATCTGGCACCAGCAAGAATGACAGAGGGCGGAAGGGTCCTACCATCAAAGGTAACCTTCACAACCCGAAGGGGCAGACGGCGATGACCACGAGGGGGACGAGTAAATGTATCCACCTGGAGGACAGAATTACCCTGGGCCTCGAGGATATGCTTGATATCCTCGTGCCAGTCCTTGAGATCCCTAACACCGGTCGCAACATGGTGCGGGAGGAGAACAGTGCCAACACTGGCATTCAACCGAGCGTTCTTCGAGACCCAAACAGGGGTCTCGCCAAGGCAGGATAAGGCGGCCAAGCGGGTGGCCGCATCCTGAGAAAGAGCAGCAACAACACGGGTACCAAGACGAGTGGGGTTGAAGGTGACAGAGGCATCCACGGAATCGACAAGATGCCTATGAAGGGAAAAATCGTCAGGAGGAGTTGAATCCAAAGGTTGGAAGTCAAAGAACTTAGTCCACGTAGCAGGACCAAACAAAGCATGGAACGAATTAGGATTGGAAGGGAGCATACGAGAGCGGCCGTGGCAGGGAAGGCGATGAGAATCCTTAGAGAGAGACGGGTCAAAGGTGTAGTAGTCACAAGAAGAGATGGAGCCGTGCAAGGGGACGAGACGGTCACCACAGCAGGCTTGGGGCTGGACCCAACCACAGAGGAGGGGAGGGGAGCAGGGAGGAAGAGTCCGGTCTGGGCCTAAACCGGATCCTTTAGTGGGGACTACAGATCCCGGTCTTCCAGGACGGTCCGACTGAGGGGCCTGGTCGCCCACCCCATGAGCCTGGGTAAGAGAAGTCAAGTCGTCATCCATGCAGCAAACCAATATATACGGGATGGGACCTGGAACCAAGGAATACCACCTACCAGGGCAGCCAGGGAGGCCGATCGCGGGCCAGTGCAGGAAGGGTGCGTCGTCCCTAGCGGTGCTGCCCCTTTTCAACAGGGGAGTCCTACTACTTCGTTCATTCTCACACACTGGTGCTAAGACCCCAGTCTCCCTATCGCCCCAGCCTGGACACCCAACCATCCACTCAGGGCGGCCCTCACAGGCGACCCCTCCAGCGGGTGGTCCAATGGCTCACAAGGCCCCTACATGATGCCCTTCAGCACATACACCTCCCAAAAAGGGGCACAGGCAACCCACACCGGTCCTATTGTGGTGTACGTGAGCCCCTAACGTACACCAAAAAGGAGGCACCACGGAGGTGGTGCAGTCAGGTGTACAAGTTTCATGCAAATCGTCCGATAAACAAATATGAAAAATAAAATTGAAAAAAAAAAAAAAATTAACATTATTTTTTCGATAAAACTAATTATTATTATTTTTTAATATATGCTATTGTGATAGCTGAGAGCTATAGACCGACACGATTGATTAATGTTTTTTTATATCTAGTCAAAGAAGAATTTTTTTTTTATATATCAGAAGTTTTTATTTTCCACATAGCCTATGTAAATGTTGTACACCATTCTTGTTTTGCCTTCAGATCATTAGCTTTGATCTTTTTCCTTGTGTTTTGGAGATCAGTCTTGAGCATTAGTTAATCTCTTTAGCCTCAGTTAATGAAAAAAATACTGATGTAAAATGTTAGCATGAACGTATATTTAGTTCTCGGTAAATTAATATGTATTTGAAAACTCAGATCTTGTAGTTCACATGAAACAAACATGATAAATATTCCCAGTGATGAGGGCGTCCATCAGTGTTGAGTGCTGCCGGCCACAAGCTCAAGACACAACACCAGAACACTGATAGAGTGACCACCAGCGAGGAGGACAAACATTCCCTGCAATTATAATGGTAAGTCAGTTACATGCACACACTCACAAACACACACATTAAATTACAGGCTTGAGCGTTTGTTAACAAAAATGTCATTATTTATATGTACACAAATCTGAAACAGCTTCATTACCATCACGTTGTTAAGAGAAAGTGACTCCTGGACGGTGATGGTGGTGGGCGCCTGGGAGCACACAGTGGAGTTGGGCTGGGCGGCCCTCATCCAGTACTTGAACAGTCCCGCCTCTGTCATTCCCAGGATCCTTGTACACCGTAAACATTTGTAATATATTCTCGTTAGTTACATGTCATTTTATTCTTTTCCTCGTGAAATAAATGGATAGATCAATATATAGATGAGTAACTAGATGTCTAGATCAATGGATGCATAGAAAGATGGATGGAAGGGTTGATGAATGGATAGATAAATATATAGACGGATAAATGGATGAACAGATGGATGGATAGATATGTGATATAGCGATGGATATATTGATGATATATGGGAATCCAACAAACACGAAAACGTTTTCTTACATTATTTTGAGACAGAAAAATGACACTATAATTATTTATATAAAGTCTTCTTTTGGACGTATAAAATACGTTTATTTCGTTGACCAAACCACACACTAGAAAGTGAAGGGACGATGACGTTTCGGTCCGTCCTGGACCATTCTCAAGTCGATTTGAGAATGGTCCAGGACGGACCGAAACGTCGTCGTCCCTTCACTGTCTAGTGTGTGGTTTGGTCAACATATTTCAGCCACGTTATTTTGACTCCTCGTCTGCATACGTTATTTTTGTTCAATCGAATCAAAGATCTTTTTTAACAAACGTACAAATGAAGTTTTAATACGTTTCTACTCTAAATTAAGTACATTTACTAAATGTATGTGTATGTGAATGCATTTACTATTTGTATTTGCAGAATCGACATACTAGCTCTTGGACCCCACCTTTCTAACCAATTTTTTTTTCTCTAGTGTCTATTACATATATTTCTCTTACACACGTGTGCACACACATCCCAGGGAAGCAGCCCGTAACAGCTGTCTAACTCCTCGGTACCTATTTATTGCTAGGTGAAAAAGTGCATCAGGGTGAAAGAAACTCTGCCCATTTGTTTCCGCCTCCACCAGGGATCGAACCCGGAACCTCAAGATTACGAATCTGAAATGCTGGAAACTCAGTGGGCAGGATGAGGTTGTATGGAGGTTGTGACGGTGTGTGTGTGTGTGTGTACTCACCTAGTTGTACTCACCTAGTTGTGCTTGCGGGGGTTGAGCTCTGGTTCTTTGGTCCCGCCTCTCAACCATCAATCAGCAGGTGTACAGGTTCCAGAGCCTATTGGGCTCTATCATATCTACACTTGAAACTGTGTATGGAGTCAGCCTCCACCACATCACTTCCTAATACATACCTTTTGTCAACCACTCTGACACTAAAAAAGTTCTTTCTAATATCTCTGTGGCTCATTTGGGCACTCAGTTTCCACCTGTGTCCTCTAGTGCGTGTGCCCCTTGTGTTAAACAGCCTGTCTTTATCAACCCTGTCGATTCCCTTGAGAATCTTGAATGTGGTGATCATGTCCCCCCTAACTCTTCTGTCTTCCAACGAAGTGAGGTTTAATTCCCGTAGTCTCTCCTCGTAGCTCATACCTCTCAGCTCGGGTACTAGTCTGGTGGCAAACCTTTGAACCTTTTCCAGTTTAGTCTTATGCTTGACTAGATTTGGACTACATGCTGGAGCCGCATACTCGCGGATTGGTCTGACATATGTGGTATATAATGTTCTGAAAGATTCCTTACACAAGTTTCTAAAGGCCGTTCTTATGTTAGCCAACCAGGCATAAGCTGCTGATGTTATCCTCTTGATATGAGATTCAGGGGACAGGTCTGGCGTGATATCAACCCCCAGGTCTTTCTCTCTCTCTGACTCTTGAATTATTTCATCTCCCAAATGATACTTTGTATCTGGTCTTCTGCTTCCTACCCCTATCTTCATTACATTACATTTGGTTGGGTTAAACTCTAACAATCATTTGTTGGACCATTCCTGCAGCTTGTCCAGGTCTTCTTGAAGCCTCAAGCTGTCCTCCTCTGTCTTAATCCTTCTCATAATTTTGGCGTCGTCAGCAAACATTGAGAGGAATGAGTCTATACCCTCTGGGAGATAATTTAAGTTAAATCAGAAACAGGATAGTTCCGAGTACAGAGCCCTGTGTGTGTGTGTGTGTGTGTGTGTGTGTGTGTGTGTGTGTGTGTGTGTGTGTGTGTGTGTGTGTGTGTGTGTGTGTGTACTCACCTAGTTGTGCTTGCGGAGGTTGAGCTCTGGCTCTTTGGTCCCGCCTGTGTGTGTACTAACCTAGTTGTGTTTGCGGGAGTTAAGCACTGGCTCTTTGGTCCCGCCTCTCAACTGTCACTCAACTGGTGTACAGATTCCTGAGCCTATTGGGCTCTATCATATCTTCATTTGAAACTGTGTATGGAGTCAGCCTCCACCACATCACTGCTTAATGCATTCTATTTGTTAACTACTCTGACACTGAAAAAATTCTTTCTAATGTCTCTGTTGCTCTTCTGGGTGCCAAGTTTCCACCTGTGTCCCCTTGTTCGTGTTCCACCCGTGTTAAAGAGTTTGTCTTTGTCCACCCTGTCAATTCCCAGTGGTTATCATGTGTCCACTTACTCTTCTGTTTTCGAGGGATGTGAGGTTCAGCTCCCTTAGCCTTTCCCCACGTAGCTCATACCTCTCAGTTCCGGGACCTTTTGTGATGTACTGTGTCAAAGGCTTTCTGACAGTCCAAGAAAATGCAGTCTGCCCACCCTTCCCTTTCTTGCCTAATTTGTGTTGCTTGGTCATAGAATTCTATTAGACCTGTGAGGCACGATTTACCATCTCTGAACCCAAGCTGGTGGTGTCTTACAAAGCAGTTTCCCTCCAGATGCTCTACAAGCCTTTTCCTCACAAACTTCTCCATCACCTTGCATGGTATACAAGTTAGAGAAACTTAGAGTTCAGTGCCTCTTGCCTGACACCCTTTTTGTAAATTGGGACTACATTAGCTGTCTTCCAGCGTTCAGGAAGGTCTCCCGTTTCCAGTGACCTGTTATACCCCATGGAGAGTGGTACACTTAGTGCCTCTGCACCTTCTTTTAGTATCCAAGGTGAGATTCTATCAGGCCCAACAGCCATTGTCACATTCAGCTCCAAAAGATTTCTTTTGAACTCATCACTGCTGAGGTCAAATTCCTCCAAGGTTGCTTGGTTTGCCTCCTCATTTAGTACAGGAACCTCTCCTTGTTCTATTGTGAAGACCACCTGGAATCTCTTGTTGAGTTCTTTACACACCCCCTGTCGTTCTTTGAGTATCTGTTATTCTATTTTCTCAGTTTCATCACTTGTTCCTTCACTGCTGTTTTCCTCTTGATGTGGCTGTGGAGCAGTTTTGGTTAGGTCTTAGCTTACTCACGATGTCATTTTCATACTGTCTCTCTGCTTCTCTCCTCACTCTGAGGTACTCATTTCTGGCCCTCTGGTATCTCTCCCTGCTCTCCGGTGTTCTGTTGTTCCTGTAGTTTCTCCATGTTCTTTTACTCAGTTGCTTCGCTACCTTACATTTCTGGTTGAACCACAGATTTTTCTGTTCTTTTTTCGTTTCTCTCCTTTTGGACCGGGATAAACCTGTCTGCAGCTTCCTGGCACTTCTGGGTGACATAATCCATCATGTCCTATCCAGTCTTGTATCTAAGTTCTGTGTGCGTGTGTACTCACCTAATTGTGCTTGCGGGGGTTGAGCCTTGGCTCTTTGATCCCGCCTCTCAACTGTCAATCAACAGGTGTACAGATTCCTGAGCCTACTGGGCTCTATCATATCTACATTTGAAACAGTGTATGGAGTCACCTTCCACCACATCACTTCCTAGTGCATTCCATTTATTAACTACTGTGACACTGAAAAAATTCTTTCTAACGTCTCTGTGGCTCATCTGGGTACTAAGTTTCCACCTGTGTCCCCTTGTTCGTGTCCCACTCGTGCTGTAGAGTTTGTCTTTGTGAACCCTGTCAATTTCCCTGAGAATTTTGTAGGTGGTTATCATGTCTCCCCTTACTCTTCTGTTTTCCAGAGATGTGAGGTTCAGCTCCTTTAGCCTTTCCTCGTAGCTCATTCCTCTCAGTTCCAGGACGAGCCTGGTGGCATACCGCTGAATCTTCTCTAAATTTGTCTTGTGTTTAACTAGG